TTACACTTCTGTGGTCCAGAGAGGGAGTTGGGCACGTCTATATGAAACTAGTGGCAGTACAAAAAGAAGCCACCCATTTTCTGCACCAACAGCTGTGTGCTTTTTAGAGACACATCCAGGAGGTCGGCAAAGATTTCCAGCTCTACTCTAAAGCTTGGTTTATACTCAGCAACCTGGCTGTAGTGCCGTCCTGACGTCTGGCACACCTCGGACACTATCCCAGACACAATGCACGACGCTAGTTTGTAGCTCTGTNAGCGCAGACCATGCTTCAATACTGGGTATCAATCAAAAATATTTGCGTCATACCTGCGACAAGCTAACGGCGACACACTGCTGCGGGAGGATAACCTGCCCTTAACTCTGCAGCTGAATCTCAGAAACAGAAAAAACGTAGAGGCCTGGTGGTTAAAACACTATGAAGGCTGCAAGTTCAAACCCCACAACCTGTCCCTCTGCCTCCCTGAACAGGAACCTGGGCGCTCCACTACTCCGAGAGTTAAACAGGTTAAATGGCGGTCACATTTCCTTGTGATGCACAATTTAGGTAAACAACGAAGTTGATGGTCATTATCCAGAGATGGAGCTTTAAAAGCAGCTGTAGATCACAGATGTGTGTACTGGCTGCAGTCATCCTTCATCCCTGAACCAGAAACCTTCTGCAGCTGCTCAGATAACAGCACAGTTTATCTGCAGGTCAGCACGGTGGTGGCAGCTCACATAAACATGCTACTCATGGACACAAAAACACACTGCAGCTTCTCTCATTTACACTACATTGTACATAATTCATACAAACACTTTAGACTTGATGTTAGATTGTGCTCCAGGAACTCAGACCTTGACTTTGACCTGTTGTCTTAGAGAATCTTCAAACCTTTTAAGCAGCAATGAAATCAGTGTCTGTTATAAATAGATCTAACCGGCCGTGTGCTGCATGAACAGATTTATCTAAGAAATGTTGCTCTTTGTTCTTAGCCAGTGGAGGATGAAGTACTCAACAGTAGTACTTAAGTAAAAGTATTAATACTCATAGTCAAATGTTAACTACAAGGAAAAGTTACTCAGTCAAACATCTATTCAAGTTAAAGAATTAAAGTACTCACTTTTGAAAATACTTAAAGGTATAGTGGAGTATTTTTGTGAATTTTGAATGAATAAATATATATATATATATATTGTCCATAATGGCAATAACTGTGTGTTCAGACATTAATGGTCTTTGCCGTTGGATGACTTTACTCTAAAAATAGATTTTTCAGATAAACAGTGAAGCACGACGAGCAGAAATCATCAGATAAAAATTGAAAAGCTTCTGGTCTGTTTATTTGATTCGTGGCGGAAAAATATTTCATTCAGCCTTGAAACGTTCCTGCCTTCAGCAGAGGTTATAAAAGGTCTGGATAAAGAAAGAGCTTCAGACAACAGATAAATCTAAACGAACTAATAGATAAAATCTATGCAAAGAGGGGTCCATCCATCCATCCATCCATCCATCCATCCATCCATCCATCCATCCATCC